CGCTCACAGGCTTTTAAGACCCCAGACACTACTCACCAAGGTAGAATGTAGAGCATTATCTTTATAAGTAGTGTCATGCCAATTGAGCTAGATGTTCCCCAAGACCATGGTCCCCAGAGCCCTCCGTCCAGCAACTCAGTACCTCGGGGAGTTTGGATCTGTCCATGGGGCCTCTCTTTCTGGTATTCTCTGCTTTCAGCCAATATCCATCTGACATCAGCAATGATATCCCTTGTTCCACATCCTCTTTTGAATCTGGCTTGAATTTCTGGCAGTTCCCTGTTGATGTACTGCTGCAACAATTTTTAAATTATCTTCAGCAAAGTTTTACATGCATGTGATATTAATGATATTGTTCAGTAATTTCCACATTCTGATAGATCATGTTTCTTTGGCATGAGCACAAATATGGATCTGTTCCAGTCAGTTAGCCAGGTAGCTGTTTTCCAAATTTCTTGGCATAGATGAGTGAGCACCTCCAATGCTGCATCAGTTTGTTGAAACATCTCAGTTGGTATTACAGTTCCTGGAGCCTTGTTTTTCACCAATACCTTCAGTGCAGCTTGAACTTCTTCCTTCAGTACCATTGGTTCTTGATCATATGCTACCTCCTGAAATAGATGTGTGTTGACCTATTCTTTTTGGTGCAGTGACTCTGTATATTCCTTCCATCTTCTTATTCCTTCCATCTTCTTTTGATGCTTCCTGCATCGTTCAGTATTTTCCCATAGAATCCTTCAGTATTGCAACTTGAGGCTTAAATTTTTTTCTTCAGTCCTTTTAGCTTGAGAAATGCCAAGTTTGTTCTTCCTTTTGGTTTTCTAACTCCAAGTCTTTGCACATTTCATTATAATATTTTACTTTGTCTTCTCAAGCCGCCCTTTGGAATCTTCTGTTCAGTTGTTTTACTTCACCGTTATTCTTCCTACACAAGATGCTAAAAGCAGAATTTCTCCTGCAATGTACAAAAAGTAAACTTTACATTCTCCTTCTCAGTGATAGGAGTAATCCTGAAATAGTTTAGCCAACACAGAATCACTTCCTCCAGCATCTGAATTGCAGTGTCTTCAAGTACATCTATCCAATTTTACTACTGTGCTTGTTCTATTTCTTACACTGAGCTCATGCCAATGTATGTCCTAGGGTTAAAACTGTTAAGATGAATTGGAACCTTACAGTGAATCTCTCTTATTTACTCAGGAATTGTTTAGAACCTTGGCTGAGTTCCGAAATAAAAGCACTTACGGTTTACGGGGTGTTATTATAGAGTTGAGGAAAACATTCCAGAATGAGTACTTTAAAAGTGGCTATCAAAAAAGTGACAGTTGCAAGTATCTGTCATTATTTTTAAACACAGAAAGACAGATTGTTATTTTTAACTAAAAGTACATTTATTGCAACAGAATTGTCTACCTATCAAGAGTAGGTAGGGTTCTAGCCATGGGCTCAGTTAACTGTTGGGGTCCCTGAGTCCTCAGTATTTTCTGTCGCAGTGCTTATGGGTCCAGCATCTGGCCTGATGCACCCAAGAAAGGCCAGGGTTCTGCTGGAAAAGAGACCTAGTACTGTGTAGTACCTGAGTGTGGCAACACCAATTCTTTGTTTAATTTCTGTATACCGATAAGGCTGCTTATCAAAATGATGTCTGGTCATGGATTCAATTGTCAGTCCTTGCATGTGAATAATTATTCCTTCAATTATAGCAGCTGTGGAGTGGTTGGCTTGAGCTCACAATGCAAAGCCTGTGGCCATGTTTAAAAAATTAGGTGGCATGAGAAGTAACAGAGTTTACAGAAACAATACATCCTGATTTTGAGCTTTCCTGATAAGTGGGTCCAGTATCTCTTTGGGTTGAAAATTAGATTCATTTTGCTATTTACAGCAGCAACTTTGTAGGGAAAAAGGCAAGTAGATGTGTTATCCTCAACACATTCAGGATGACAAATGCTAACTTGTGTGTATATGTGTGAATGTATGTGCACACACATCAAGCATTCAAAACAGGCCTTATAACTTCATCTGTTTTCCAAACAAATTATAATATAATGTATAGTGAAAGAATGTTTTAAGTTAATGAATTGACATTTTAAATATCAGGTTTTAAACTACAGGATTCATGAGTTTAATTATCATGAGTCAGTTTTCAAGAGGTGTTTCTTTCTGTTATACCTTCAATCAAGCCTACAATTCAAACAAGTCCCTAAAACATGGCGATGGCACCAAGCAAGACGCAGTCTAAAAGATCAGGTCCATGGAGAAAGGCTCTAAAGTAGTAGGCCTGCAGTGTAACTCTGAAATTTACGGCATTAGCACAGCAATGTTTGGAGATTTTTTTTTTCTAAATGCAAACATTTCTACAATAATTTTTACATGTCAATATAAGGATTAGGTTCTTTTTTTCTTTTCTTTTTTTTCTTTTTACTGTTTTATTAAATTTTATATTTGTTACTTTGTATTGTTACCTTGGGAGCCCTAGTGGCACAGTGGTTAAGAGCTTGGTTGCTAACCAAAGGTTGATAGTTCGAATCCACCAGCTGCTCCTTGGAAACCCTATGGGGCAGTTCTACTCTATCCTGTGTGGTCACTATGAGTCAGAATCGACTTGATGGCAATGAGATTTTTATATTGTTGCCTGGAAGGAGCCCTGGTGGTGCAGTGGTTAAGAGCTCCTCTGCTAACCGAAAGGTTGGCTATTCGAACCCCCCAGCTGCTCCATGGGAGAAAGATGTGGCAGTCTGCTTTCATAAAGATTACAGCCTTGAAAACCCTATGGGGCAGTTCTACCCTGTCCTGTAGGGCCGTTATGAGTCAGAATCAACTCAATGGCAATGGGTTGTTACCTGGCATAATTTTTTATCTTACATATTTTTCCATACTCATCTTCATTGCTATACTTTCTCTTAATCTTTGAAATAGCTTCTATGGCATAGAGATAGTGAAAACAGTAGTGAACAGATATTCTTTTTATATTAGAAGAATTTTACCATCTACCACAAATAACCTCTGATTTTACAAATTAAAACACAGAAAAACAAACCCTATAAAATGATGATTGAGTTAAAGTACTTCCTTTCTTTTTAAAAATAGTTGGGTTTGAAATTAAAGCAAGAAAAATTTTAAGTTGACAGTGACTGACATTATTTTTCTTACACATAATTTAGCTCCCATAAGTTAGTCTTTTTGTTCTTGTTGTTTCTTGTGAAAAAATGATTATCCTACAACCACAATGGGAAAAAGGTATGATGCTTCCACAAAAAACTAGAAATAGAAATACCATATGTTCCAGTAATCCAACTGCTATGTATATATCCTAGAGAAATAAGAGCAATGACACAAACAGACATATACACACTCATGTTCATTGCAACATTATTCACAATAGCAAAAAAATGGAAACAACGTAAGTGTCCATCAATGGATAAATGGATAAACAAAATGTGATACATACATACAATGGCATGCTATGCAATGATAAAGAATAATAATGAATACACGAAACATCTTATAACATGGATGAATCTGGAGGACATTATGCTAAGTGAAATAGGGCAATCACAAAAGGACAAATATCGTCTGATGTCATTTTGGTAAAAAGTCAAGAATAGGTTTACACACAGAAAGCAACGTTCTTTGATGGTTACCAGGAATGGGAGAGAGAGGGAAGGAGTATCACTTACTAGTTAGTAGACACGTGTTAATTCTGGTGAAGGGAAGGGTAGTACACAATATAAGGGAAGTCAGCATAATGTGACCAAGGTAAATGAAGACACTGAGAGGAACGCAAGAATAAAGGACAACTACAGTAAATGCTATAACATACACAATTCTGCAACAACAGTAATAACAACCAAAAATGTGTGAGTGGTTACATAGGTAGATATATATACTATATAGGTTTGGGAGGGTGTATAGGAGTACATAGACATGCATATATAGGTATAGTTGTGGGCATTTGCGTATACATATTTGTATGTACTATATATATATTCATACCTATAATAGAGCACGTAGTGGGGCACAGTTATGGAAACTTCTTAAACATGCCCATACACCTCATGGGACTGAGTTACTGGGCTTGAAGTCTAAGGACCGTGGTCTCGGGGGACATCTAGGCCTATTGGTAAAAAAGAGTTCATAAAGTTAATGTTCTACATCCTAGTTTGGTGAATAGTGCCTGGGGTCTTAAAAGCTTGCAAGCAGCCATCAAAGATACAATTATTCATCTCCTCCTATCTGGAGCAAAGGAGAGTGAAGGAGACCAAAGACTCAAGGAAGCAATTAGTCCACAAGACTAACGGCCCACGTGAACCACAGCCTTTTCTAGCCTGAGACCAGAAGAACTAGATGGTGCCCGGCTACCACTACCAACCACTCTGACCAGGGACACAATAGGAGATCCCAGTTAGAATGGGAGAAAAATGTAGAACTAAACTCAAATTCATAAAAAAAGACCAGAGTTACTGGACTGATAGAGACTAGAAGAACCCCTGAGACTATCACCCTAAGACACCTTTTTAACCTGGAAGTGAAGCCACTCCTGGAAGTCACCTGTCAGCCAAATAACAGATTGGCCTATAAAATAGACAGTAACACCCATGAGGTATGTGTTGCTTAAAACAATCAACTATGCAAGACCAAACAGGCAACATTTGCCCAAAAGGAAAGGTGAGAAGGCAAGGAGGGGCAGGGAAACGGGGCAGATGGAATCAGAGAAGACAGGGTGGAAATGTGGAGAGTGTGGGCATAGCAGCCAATGTCACAGAACAATATGTGTATGAATTGTTGAATTAAAAATTAATTTGCTGTGTAACCTTTCACCTAAAACACAATAAAATGTAAAAAAAAAAAAAAATTGTTAGCCTAGACTAAACTGTTAGCCAGAGCTTGAACTCTTTAAATAACATAGTTCCATTATTTCTTCCCTAGGTAAGGAAGCATTTTCCTGCAAGGATACCACTGCAAATGAAAAAATAGAAAGGAGTAGAGAATATACATACCAATGGCTTCACACACAGGTTGGGGTTCATGAAACAACTAGTTCCAGAAATATGAAATGGTGAGGTCATTTCCTTTAAATTAGATTTTTGTATTGTAAACATATCTTGAAAAGTGAAACCTAGGTTAATTGTGCTAAAACAAACATGACTTTATAGCCAAAGGCCAATACACCAGGTTGCCAGGTTATAAAAAGGCCTCCCGTATAGAATAGATTTAATCGCTCTTTGTATTTTTCGCTCTGAAATGATCAGGAAGAAGCCTATTTCTGTAATGCATGAAATCAACAGATGAACCACACAAATGATTCTGCTTTGAAAAGTAAAGTGCATGGTATCCATTAACTATTTTCAAATAGCATATATGTCGTAGGTTGTATTTTATTTTTGTTTTATTTTTATTTACATGTATAAACATGGCATTTAAAATTATAATTCAACCTTGTAGCTGCCACTTTAGTGGTCATGTAACTAATTTTTAAAGACATTTTAAAGCTTCAGTTTTCTCTCCTTTATAGTGAGATAAAGGATATCTATCTAATAGGGTTTAGGTAGCTCACAGCATTGTGGATATCAAATATTTATATCCCCTAACAACAAACTAGGTGCTTTGCACCTAATACATGCTCAATTAATTTTTGTTACATTGATGAACAATAAAGCATATATGTGCGAAACTAGTGAATGAAATTTTTAAGAAAATGAAAGTTCAGAGATGATATTTTTGACATAGACTTTCAAGACTTTCACTTTAAGTACATGTACCCACTAAACCAAAAACAAGAAAAAACTCACAGCCATTGAGTCACTCATAGCAACCCCATAGGACAGAGTAGAACTCCCCATAGGATTCAAAGACTAAATCTTTATGGAAACAGACTGCCATGTCTTTCTTCTGCAGAGCGGCTAGTGGGTTCAAACCACTGACCTTTTGGTTAGCAGCCAAGTGCTTTAACCACTGCAACATTGCTCCTTATAAAAGACTAGGTAGTAATATTTTAAGAAAATTATGTTTTCAAGAATAAAAGGTTCTTGAAAAGCCAAATGTCAACATTCTAGTTTTATACAGAAGTTAACTGTAAACATTAGTATACATTAAATATACTAGAGCTATTTAAAAATAAGAAGTTTTACATTTCTCAAAAGACAAGTAATGGATATAAGTAAATGTAAATAAATATTTAAGTTTTCTATAATTTATTAGCTATCTTTATTAATAGTTTCAGGTTTTTGCCCTTTGCACGTGTTCATGTTTGGCAAAGAAGGATGGTATTAAAATATTGTTTATTAATTTATATTTTACACCAAATTGAATTAAAGTAATAACTGGAAAATTTTAAATTGTATTTATCTTTGTATGGAAGTTAATTTAAGAAAACTATTATTTCCATTTTGTAAATGACTGATTTCTCCAAAACTTTTCAGTTGGGCATTTCTTTCATATTCTTACATTTATATTATGTTTTCTGTTTTTGTCACTATGCAGCAATCACTTCTTGCCTGAGTTAGATCCAGAGGTACTTAATGGTGGAAGAGTTCAGCTTGTGGTAAGAAATATGTTTAAAGTTACAGAAAAATGTTGTAGACACCAGTACTCAATAAATGGCACTTTAAAATATGCCCGAAATTAGCTTCAAATATGAAAATATCACAGTTGTATCTTTTTAGAGTAATCTCAGAATTCCACGTATTAAAATAATAATGTATTTCCTTAACTTGCATTATAATATTAAAATATGATATTATTTTAAAATATTAATTTTATATGGAATTTGAAATCATTAGCATGCTATCATATTTAAATAGAATTGAAGAACTCTAGATGGGAAATTGTCTAATGAAATTATCTTCTTGAAAATTTTGAAAGAGTAGGATCTGTATACATCTAATCGTCACTTATCGACTATCTCGCTATCTGACATTTTGCATTTACAACTTTGAAAAAATTCTCATGCGGTGTCTCTGTTGGTCTGGGCCCCATGTGGGGCTGTGGCTGGGCCCAGGACACCCTCCAGAGGCCACCCAAACTAGATACTGGAGGCCCCAGTGACAATCAGGCCACATGAGAATCAGTGGCCAACTGGCTGTGGTACACCTTCTTCTGTTCATCTGTGACATCTTGGTCCAGCCATAGAAGGCGCAGGGCGATGGTGGGAGGATGTGAGTTTGTGGGTGGGCAGGGTGAGGCCAGGTGAGGGCCCAAAGGTGGTAGGGAAGTCAATGGAGGGAAGTAGGAACTGGGGGAGAGGGAAGAGGGCCATATGAGTTGCAAGGCCAGGGCAGATAGAGGACAAGGTGGTGAGCGGTGGATGGCTGGCAACACCCAATGACCACCACCACCACCCCCAAACCCCATGGGCTCCACAATGGTGGGGAAGGGAGGCCTGCTGCACCACATGCATCCCAAGAAACACCCAGGGCACCTGATGGGTGGTGAGCAACTGGGGGGACAATGGCACCAAGACAAGTCATGGCCCCTGACTCTTACATAACACCAATTTCGCATAATGACCTGGTCTTTGGAACCTAACCATTATTTATAAGTGAGGCGTGGCAAATAGCAAAGGGAAATAGCAAAGTATTCTCACAACTCAGAATACCAAACAAGATAAAAATTAGCAAGTAATTGTGAAGTCAACCACTTCAAGTAATAAATTGTAAATTACTGGAGTTTTAGCGACACCAAGTTCTAAACATGGTGACCAGAGCGTAGCCTCTAGATAGTATAACAGTATGTGCGTCGCTAAAGTCAATTGTACTATGTGCTATTAGAAGGAAGACTATGTTAACAGAAGCAGAGTGGCCAATATGGAGTCTAAAAAAATGCAGTCCACCAAACAAGAATTTTTCAGTATGTCTTCAGAAAAATCCAGAGAAGAGGGTACTCTGAACAGTGGAAGAAATGTGTGGCCTCCTTGGCAGTTGAAAATGGATACATCAGGTGACTCTAACTTTATGACACCTTCCATTTATATCAATCAACAACTACCCCTTGCTTAGATTCTATACTCACCAAGAAAACTGATTATAATTTAGCTTACCATGTAGACTTTAGTATAAAAAGATAATGTGCTTTTTAATGGAAACTAGTATTATGGGTCTCCAGAGCTGTTATATTCATCACTCTTGGGGACACCTTCTTCAAGGACTTTTCCTGAAAGAGGAGCAAAAATTAGGGCAACAACTAGCTAAAATTGATGCATTTATGAAAATATTTATAGAATATATGTACAGAGTTTGTAATAATCACTCAGAAAACATTTACTTGCATTTTAATAGAGACCTCTCTAGAGGAAGTGGCAAGCAGATAACCCTAGGAAGATTGATACTTCAGATTATTAACACCATACTTATTATTGATTCTCTTCAGCACAGAATGATGAGTGGCCACCTTGTAGCCAGAATGGGAAACATAAAAGTGCCGAGAAATATCAAGATAAATGAAGTAATATTCTATTTAATTATTATATTTTTAAAAATGAATGAAAACAGATTGGATAGATTTCTGATCAAAATCGTTCTATGAGATTAATATTCTGACATTGATCCTCTTATTTCACACCATTTTCACTATATACAGACACATGACAAAAATATAGCAATGACAAATGCTTTTTTACACTGAATATACAGCTCAACTCAAAAACAAGGTAGATGATAGTGGAACAGAAAAACACAGATCTCTTTTTTTGTGGTGGGGGATGGGGTTGGTTAGTGGATTCAGGGGAAGAGATTGATGGCTGACATCAAAGGGAAACTGAGCTAGATGAAAGCCCAGAGTGGAAATTTTGCAGAGTATTGAGGGGTGAAAGGACCCCATTTGTACTGGGGAACTGGAGACAGATACTACTCAAAATTAGAGCTGAGGCCAGGCCATAGCTAAAAGGAAAATGAAAATAAAATAAAATAAAATAAAAATAAAAACATGTTCAAGATCCTCAAAAACATAGGAATAACACTCAAGGACAAGTTATTATGGAGCAAAAGTGATCAAATGTTAATAAAGAACAGATGTATATGCAAATGAACCAATTGGAAATTCTGGAAATAAAAAATATTATCATTGAATTAAACTCTGGAATGGACACAGTAAAAGAGAGAATTAGTGAATTGGAAAATTACCTACAAAGGAGCAATAATTAACTTTCTAGCTAACATCTTACCAGAAAAAATGCAAACCAAAAGACAGTGCAGTCATTTCTTCATAATAGTGATAAATGTAAATATTATCAAGAATACTCTTCACTAACCTTCAAGAGTGAGGGAAAAATAAGACATAATCAAATATTCAAATGTTGGATTTTGAGGAAGCTAATAAATAACTTAATCTCTGTCTTCCAAACAAGAGACGAACATATTGAGTGGTAGATATAGGAATTAGAAAAATGAAAATGAAATGATCACTTTTCTTGCTTCCAAAGATATATCAGAAGGCATATCATAGATCTAGACAATTGAATTTTTAATTAAATTAAAGTTATTCTTCAGAACGCCAGGATTTTTCTACAGAAAGCAGACTCTTAGATCAGGTTCCCCATGAAATATACTCTGAATTTCTGAGATTTGAGTGCAGAAAGTTAATTGGGAAGGACATTCAGGAACAACTCCTTTGAAGGATGAAAGAAGCAGGCTTGAGGAGAAGAAAAAGGTGAATTTCAATGGAGTTTCAAGAGAGGAAGTGAGTTCTGGTGGTGGAATGGTCCTTTTGAGTTGTCCAACCTTGAGGCAATGGAGCCAAGCTTTTATGCACCTGCATTACTTCAGAAGGTGTGATTTGGATAAGGCTGTTGTCTTCAGCTTAGGACAATTTCCAGATAGAGAAACAGCTGATAGCCACCAGGTTTCAATTTTTTCAGCAGCTGGAGGAATCTGACTCAGTTGTTAAAGATGATATGGCATATGATAATATCCACAATACCCATTAAGTTTACTATTCATGGCTAAACAACTTTAACATATAAAATGTGTCAATTGTCCACAATAAATCTGTAAATTCAAAGCAATCACAACCAAAATTATAGCTGAGTATTTTTAGAAACCTGAAAACTCTCATTCTAAAATATCTATTGATGAATAAAAATCCAAGAATATATGTCACCTTTGAAAAAAGAAGAGCAACTTGTGCCACAAGATATAAAACTTTGGAAAAAGGTAAAATAAACTTTATGGTGTTGGCATACCTGTTGCCGTTGAGTTGATTTCGACTCATAGCTACCCTATAGGACAGAATAGAACTGCCCTATAGTTTCCAAGGAGCGCCTGGTGGATTTGAACTGCCAACATTTTGTTAGCAGCCAGAACTCTTAACCACTACACCACCAGGGTTTCCATGGTGTTGGCATAAGAATGGATAAATAGACCAATGGAAATGGAAATGAATAGAGTTCAAGAATAGACCTATGAATATGATGGAATTTAATATATCACAAATATGTCACCATGAACCAGTGGGAAAAGGTCAGATTGTTTAGTAAATAGCATTGAGTAAATTGGTATTGAGGAAAAAAGACAAGAATATACATAGACTATATACATCCTATACAATAGTGGATGGAATTCAGAAGGTTTGAAAGCCCAAATGTGAAGATAAAGCTACAAAACAGGTAAAATAAAATATTTAAGAATATCTTTACAGCTTAGCAGTGAGGAAAGTCTTTCTTAAAAAGTAGTACAAAGCCATAAGGGGGGGAAAAAAAGATTAACTTGACTGTGTTACATATTCCTTCCTATGAATTATTTTTTATAAAAGGTTAACAGACAGAGGACAGATATGGACAAACTATTTTCAGTGCCTAAAACCAACAAAAGCTTAATGTCTAAATTATAAAAAGAATTCCTGCAAATGAACAAAAAAAAGTCAGGAAATCCAATGGAAATTACAAAAAAGATATAGGCACTTTACAGAAGATGATGCCTAAATGGGTAAATGCATACAAAGAGATGCAACTGTGTGATCAGAGAATGAAAATTAAAACCAAGAAATTAGATGACTATTCTCTTCATGATGGCAAAAATTAGAAAACTGGGTAATGCAAAGTGCTTTCGACAATGTGTAAATGCTTATTCCCAGCTCATAAAAGTGGAGCCCAGTACGGTCATTTTGGAAAGTAATCTGTCAGTGTTTATTTCAGTTAGGTCTTTTTATGCCCTGTTTCTCTTCAAGTCCAGTCTTCTAGCATATATATTGTCGACCCTCTGTATCTGTGGGTTCTGCATCCACAGATTCAACTAACCGCAAATCAAAAATATTCAGGGGAAAAAAAAGTTACCTTGTTGCTGACGTGTACTATGTAGTTAGGCCAACAATGATTGCATCTGTACTGAACATGTACAGACTTTTTTTCCTTGTCTTTATTCCCTAAACAATACACTATAAAAACTATTTACATAGCTTTACAATGTATTAGGTATTATAAGTAATCTAGAGATGATTTAAAGTATACAGGAGGATGTGTGTAAGTTATATGCAAATATTATACCATTTTATGTAAGGGACTTGAGTATCCTCAGATTTTGGTATCTGCAGGGGGTCCTGGAACCAATCCCC